CAATATGTAGGCACAGCTAGAGTCAGAAGTACAGGGCAATCTGTGGGGACAGCTAAAGACAGAAGTACAGGGAATCTGTAGGCACAGCTAGAGACACAAGTACAGGGCAATCTGTAGGCACAGCTAGAGACAGAAGTACAGGGCAATCTGTGGGGACAGCTAGAGACAGAAGTACAGGGAATCTGTAGGCACAGCTAGAGACACAAGTACAGGGCAATCTGTAGGCACAGCTAGAGACAGAAGTACAGGGCAATCTGTGGGGACAGCTAGAGACACAAGTACAGGGCAATCTGTAGGCACAGCTAGAGACAGAAGTAAAGGGCAATCTGTGGGGACAGCTAGAGACAGAAGTACAGGGAAATCTGTAGGCACAGCTAGAGACAGAAGTACAGGGCAATCTGTAGGCACAGCTAGAGACAGAAGTACAGGGCAATCTGTGGGGACAGCTAGGAGACAGAAGTAAAGGGCAATCTGTAGGCACAGCTAGAGACAGAAGTACAGGGAAATCTGTAGGCACAGCTAGAGACAGAAGTACAGGGCAATCTGTAGGCACAGCTAGAGACACAAGTACAGGGAAATCTGTAGGCAAAGCTAGAGACAGAAGTACAGGGCAATCTGTAGGCACAGCTAGAGACAGAAGTACAGGGCAATCTGTAGGCACAGCTAGACGACAGAAGTACAAGACAATCTGTAGGCACAGCTAGACGACAGAAGTACAGGACAATCTGTAGGCACAGCTAGACAACAGAAGTACTGGGAAATCTCCTCTAAAGTCTATTAATTCACATACTGTCTCGTCTAAATTTTCCCAGTGTACCTGGCACCAAGAATGAATTCTGCATGACTGTCACCATAAAACAGGCTGCATCCTCCGAGTCTCACGAGAGGAAAAAAATCTGGAATGTCTTCTGCTGAAAAAAAAAACATTTCTAAAACATATACATTACATGTTACAACACAATATAGGCAAATGAAATACAGAAAAAATCTCGACTGGTTCGAGTGGGTCAGATAAAAATTATTTTTTTTTGTCTACGCAGAATTACAAGCATTGGAATTATTGGATTTATATATACTAACATCAGAAGAGCAGCAAATGACATTTTCAAGTAGAAGGTCTATTTTGTACAAGAGTTGGAGACCTTAAAGGGAACCTCAATCCAAACAACATAATGACCCCTAAAGAAAAAGCTCCACAAATGTAGGAGAATGCAATTTACACTTTTTTTTATAACAGTTTTCATTCTCTAGATATTCAACATTTCATCAGTATTATGTAGTCAGCCATCTTGATTCTCAAGCAAAGGATTATGGGTAAAGTATGACATCATAGAATCTGTTGTCAGAAATTGAGAAAATTATTTCATCTATAACATGAGAAATACTGATGCGAATTAGTTCAAATTTTCGTTGTACATATTACTCATGTATATAATTATAGTA